ATTGCCAAACACCCCTGGGGGTGGGGTGGGGTGGGGATGGCTGCTGGAGGGTACCGTGACGCTGGCCTTTCCGTTCTCCACCTCCCGCCTGTAGCTCTGGCTGTCCTCGGGGGGGTCCTCAGCCCGGCCCTAATGGGCTCCCCGCCACCCCCGCCCCCACAGGTCTAATCCTGGTGAATGAACCGTACTACAACGAAGCGGGCTTCGACAGTGACCGGGGCCTGCAGGAGGGGTACGAGAACAGTCGTTGCTACAATGAAATGGCGCTCATCCGTGTGGTGCAGTCCATGACCCAGCTGGTACGGCGGCCCCCCGAGGTCTTCGAGCAGGAGATCCGGCAGCACTTCCATACTGGTGGCTGGCGGCTGGTGAACCGCATCGAGTCCTGGCTGGAAACCCACGCCCTGCTGGAGAGGGCCCAGGCGCTGCCCAACGGGATCCCCAGGGACAGCAGCTCCCCGGAGCCGCCGGCCGTGGCCGAGCTCTCCGACTACGGCCGAGAAGAACCTGAGGATGGAGGGCTGGCCCCTGGAGAGGCCTCCCAAGGCTCAGACTCGGAGGGCGGCGCCCAGGGCCTGGCCTCGGCTAGCAGGGACCGCACAGACCAGACTTCGGAGGCAGCGCCTGACGCCCCGGTGCCACCCAGCGTCAAACCAAAGAAGCGGAGAAAGAGCTACCGGAGCTTCTTGCCCGAGAAGAGCGGCTACCCTGATATCGGCTTCCCTCTCTTCCCACTTTCTAAGGGTTTCATCAAGAGCATCCGGGGTGTCCTGACGCAGTTCCGGGCCGCTCTGCTAGAGGCGGGCATGCCCGAGAGCACAGAGGACAAGTAGCCGCCCGCCCTCGAGGAAGCAACGTCCGTGGGGGGAGGCCAGCTGCTGCCCGCTCGCTCCCTCCCCTGGAATCGCCCGTCTTCCCGTTTTCTCCTTTGTCCCCAATGCAGAAGCCCCTCATTGCCCTCTCCCCAAGGTGAGTTTGATGCTGAAGTGCAAGAAGTTTCTTGAGATGCTGCCGTTTCTTTCCCGAAGCAGTCTTTCAGCAGGCCGGTCCCCTGTGGCAAAGAGAATCTGAAACCTGTTGCTGATTTTCCACTTGTCACCCAGGCAGAGTGTCCTGGCACCTACTCCCTTGCCGTCCCCATCTCGGGTCGGAGGTGGGTCTTCCTGGGGCCTGACACGAGGGCCCTCTTTGGGCCCAGCAGCAGGACGAGTGGATGTGCCTTGCATGAAGTGTGGGTTGCTCCCGCAGTTCCCCCAGTCCCTGTCAACCTCCCCAGTGCCCCTGTAGCTTCCCCGGTCCCAGGCCCTCCTGCTGCCACCGCGACCACTCCTCCCCTGTCCCCCCCCCGCCGCTGTCACCGACTCCTGGCTCTGCTCTGGACCATTTACCACAGGATGACCCTCAGGCCTGTTGAACTTGCTCTCTAAGAGAGGTTGGGACCAGGCTGGGTCCAGGGGGACACCCAGGAGAGGTGGCGGCCCTCACATGTGACACGGAATGAGGACCGGGGAGCTGCTGGAAAAACGGCGGCAGGTGCCTTGCTCTGGCGCTCCGGCCTCCCCCCGCTGGCCTGGGCCCGCCGCCGCCGCAGCTCCGCTCCCCGCTCGCCTCCCGGCTCGGCTCCGGCTCCGCCCCAGCCGCGCCCCAGGGCCCCGGCTGGTGGGGACAAGGCCAGGGCCAGGGCCTCTCTCGCACACTCTGCCCCTCCCACCATCAAATGCTAACGCCGGGAGGTGGCCCGTCGCTCACTGAACACGGAAGGAGCCAGCCGCACTCGCCCTCCGTCGCTGACAAACTCTGCAGGCTCGCCCCCCGGGGGAGGGGAGAGAGGGGGCTCCCAGGGGTTCTCCTCCCTCTCAGAGACAGGCCCAGAGGTTTACAAGTTTTCTAAGCTTTTGATAATGTGAAGCTCCAGGTTAAGAGGATGCTGTTGAGCACATTGCAGCTATGTAATTTTTGGTGTATGTATGTAATATTTAAGGTTGGAAGAAAATAAATCTCAAAAGCAAAGATATTAACTCTTATTAGAAAAAAAGACAAAAAACAAAAAAAAGAAGCCAAAGCATGATGCGTCTTGTCCGCCTTAAGCTGGCTCCACCCCTGGGCTGTGCCGTAGCCCCGGGCAGGCGGCGGCCGCGGGGAAGGACGGAGCCGCGCCTCGGGCCGCGGCATCTGGAGCCCTGAGTCGGTATCTTGTTGGAGAAACATCCAGAGTGACTGGTGGGGCTGTGCGCTGTTCATGTGGAGATGTGAATGCCTACTGCTTAAGATCTCTGTATAAAGTGCTGTGTGATTAAACTTTTTTTTTACTTGCATTTTTTTTGTTTGGCTCATTACAATGTACAAAACAGACTAGATGGCACCATTAAACCTGCCTCTGCCATTCATCTGGGCTCTGTCGCCTTTCTTCCCCTCCGGGCCACCTCACACGTCCCTCCCCAGGGGAAGGCAAGACCCGTGGCCAGAAAGGTTCACGGCACCAGCTCCTTCCACCCTAGCCGGTCTGCGTCTGTGCCTTCCGCGTTTGCAGCCGCGGGCGTCCCGGGGGCTGGAAGACGGGGGCCTCGTTCGCTGGGGCAGCGCTCTTGTTTGTGGGGACAGCTTGTGTCCCATTCCTCCAGAGCCGGTTTTTAGCACTTACCTGCCAGCAGCGGCTGTGGTCCCCGGGGGCCTTCCAGATGCTCGGGGAGAGTTGAAGCACCTGGCCTGGCCTTTAAGCCAAAATGGTTACAACCAGTTTGGGGGCCTCGTATCGGCCCCTCCCTGCTGCTTCCTCTTCACTCCCGCCCCCTGAGGACCGGGCAGGGTAGGATAGAGGAGGCTGGGGGAGCCCCAGAGCCCTCGCTGGAGGGATAACAGACTCCTTTCAGGAGAGAACAACTGCCTCCATTGTGACCTTGCCGCTCCTTGCTAATTTCTGTAATGCCCCCGGAAATCAGAGAACTCGTCCCTCTTCACTGAGACCAGCTGGCCGTGTGGCCCTGGGTAAGACATACTAGCTCTGAGTTTGTCCTCCACGTGGGGACAGGGAGTTGGCTGAGCTCCCTGGCTTCTCCCAGGCCAAAGGTGGTATAGTCATTGGGGCAGGACCCTAACCCCTGCAAAAAAAAAAAAAGCCTGGGCTAGTCTTGGTCCTGTGCCCACCGCCAAAATGATGCTTAACGAGTTAGTACCACGCATTGGCCCATCCAGTGCCCACTACTGGGCTTCGCTAATGTGAAGTTCTAGTGCCCCGGCAGGAGTGAGATCCCACTCCCTCCCCAACACCTAGGATAAAACCAGTAGGCTGGGAATGTCACTTTATTTGTATTTGATTCATGGGGTTGGGCTCCCAGAAACAAAATGGGAGTGGCTTCCACAGGCAGGGAGACCCAACCAGCTGGGCTCCTGGCCCAGAGCCTTATTCTGGCCTTTGGTAGGCAGAGACTGTCCTTCTAAAGCACAGCGTCCACCTTCCCACCGTCTTCAGGGGTCCTCCTCCCCACCACATGAGCTGTGGACGGGCCCTCCAGGCCCCGGGGGGAGGTTGTGGAGGGTCCTGAGCTCCGAGGTGACCAAGTAGGCTAAGGCACGGCAAGGCCCACGGAGTCATAAGGGCTCTCCTGGAGGTGCTCCCTGCTGAGGCTGCGGGCCGGGTGGGGGCTCCATGCAGCCACCGGCCATCCAGACGTAGTCTGGGTGCACCTGGCCCTGCACAGCCTCGCTGACCATCAGCTCGCCATCCACAGCAAACACACCCTTCCCGTCCTTGGGCTCCAGGCGGAAGGCAAGCACAGGCACATACACCAAGTAGGGACAGTCATAGTCCATGTGCCTCCCCTTCTCCATGGCCAGGAAGAGGCGCAGCAGCATGGCCCGGGACACGCCGGCCCGCACGTAGAACAGGTGCATGGTGCCGGCCGCACGCCGGCCCATGGGGGCCGCAAACATCTCACTGCCCAGGTGGGAGTGCAGCAGCACCAGCACCAGCACGAAGTCCTGCTCCGGGACCACGGTCCAGTGCGGGGGCACCGGCTCCTCCAGGGGTACGAGGTGGGCGTCCGCGGGCCCCTGCTGGTCCTGCCGCTCCCCAGCGGGGGGCGCGGGCACCTGGGAGGCCACCCTTTCTGCGGGGAGGTAGGCCAGCGTGCCCTGGTAGACACGCAGGGCCGCCAGGCGCAGGAAGGTGCCCAGAGTGAAGCGCATCTGCCCGAGACGCCGGAACTTCTCACTCTCCAGATCCACGTCGGCAATGAAGCCCCAAGCCAGGCTCAGCACGGAGAAGAGGCGCAGCCCCGAGGCCGTCTGCAGTGACAGCAGGTTCACGGGCGCCAGCAGCCGGCGGCACAGCAGCAAGGTGCAGTTGGTCAAGAGGTCCTCATTAGTCACCTGCTCATAGCTGCAGGGGAGAGAGGTCAGATGGGGCCCGGCAGGAGGCCTCACGCGTCCTCGCCTTCCTCGGCCTGGGGACTCGAGGCGGGCGGGGGGACACTGGGTCCCTAGGGCACTGGGAGGAATGACAGATGGGGCAGGCGGAGGCAGCCAGCTGGAGTCACCCAGAGAGGGCCCCAGAACTGGGGGGGGGGGGGGGAGTCTCCAGGGAAGAAGGAATAGAAGTGACGTCAGTATATGGGAACTTAGACAAGAAAACCTGGCAGGAGAGCGGCACCGAGGGGAAACCGAGGCCCACTCTGACCCTGGGCTCTCACCCGGCATAATGGTTCAAAGAGGCTGCCAGTGCGTTGCCAGAGCCAGCTGGAAGGCTACACAGGGGCTTCCGGATGGCGGTCTCCCAGTCTGGCCGCTCCATGAGCCCGTTCACCACCTGTTAGAGCACGGGAGGGGGGGGGTGCTCAGCCTGGGTAGCACAGCCCCCCCACACACACCCAGTCCCTCCAGGCGGGCCTCACCTCATGCATCAGCCCGTCCCCAGACATGACCACCAGCGCATCCCAGCGCCCCAGCTCCTCAACCCGCACCAGCTCCCGGGCGTGGTTCCGTCGCTCTATGGAGAGACAGGGTGGCCACGGGGGTCTGGAGAGCCCTGGCAGGGGATGCTCCCCGCAACCCCTCAGGGAGGCACTCACCAGTGAGCATCAGCGTGAAGGAGATCTCGGCCTGAGCCAGCAGGGGCTGCACGTGGCTGCGGAAGAGCTGCAGCGCCTTGCCCTTGCCTCCGCGCGGGTTTAGCAGGACCAGCACGCGGCAGGGCCGGGGCAGCTGGCTCCTGGCGCCGCCCGCTGGAAAAACAAGCCCCAAAAGGCCGCGTCCCCAACCGGCCACTAGGGGGCCGCGGATCACAACAGGGGTACTGGGGTGGAAACGTGGGGACGGAAATCTCCTGGAAATTGATCCGACAGAGCCTGGCAGGAGGCAGCGGCCTCCAGTGCGGAGCTCCAGGAGGGAGCACCTCGCCCTTGACACCCCGGTCCCTGGCTCGAGCCGGGCCAGCTTCTGGCCTCGTGTCGGGAAAAGTGGTTCGATTGTCCCCAGCCCCTCTCTCTTGCCCAGCTGACTCTGGCCATTCTTCCTGGCAAGGGAGGAAGAAACACCCCACCCCACCCCCGCCACAGCCCTTCCCCACCGGGACCCCACAAACCTGGATCCATAACCTCGACCCGCGGCTCCCGCTGCCAGGGCGTCCCCAGCGCTGTCGGGGAGCTGCCCGCGGCGGCGGCTCCTGCCTTCAGCTCCTTATCGGTGCTGCCCAGGCGGGCGTCGCGGTGCGGGCTGAGGGGTTCGCCCTCCCCGCCCGGAGCCGGGGCCCTGGAGGCACCCGCGTCATCCCCTGCGGCTGCCGGATCTGAGGGAGAGGAGACAGCGCTGGCGGAGTCCGGAACGGCCCCCTGAGGTGGGGAGCGTCCAGCCAGATCCTCGAACCACTCGCGGGGAGCCGCGCCCTCCGGCATCGCCTAGTCCTCCGAGAGGTCCAGAGAGCCGAGCTCTGGTGCCACCAAGGGCGCTCCGGTCCTAGAACTAAGCCCCCACCCACAGAGGCGAAGGGTGTCTTCCTGGGGGCTCTCCTCTCAGGGGCGTCGGGTTCCGGCCCGACAATGAGTCAGTGCCCCGTGGCTCTCTCGGTCGCACCAGCTCCTCACCCGCCCCCCCCCCGGGACTGCCAGGGGGAGAGGGGTCCAGTTGCGTAAAAATGCCAGAACTTGAGCGGACATCGCGGGGCACGAAGTTCGGCGCGAGCGATCGCCGCCCCGAGCCGGCCGGGTGGCCGAGTCCACTACCCCGAGCTCCAGAGCGGCGGGGGTCGCCGCACGCGCCTCCCAAGGCCGGGCAGCGCTGCAGGGACGCGCGCCTCGCTCGTGGGAGCAGCGCCGGGGTCGCGCGAGGGCTGAGCCCGAGCCCCGCCGCCGGCCGCCGCCTCCCTCAGCGGAGCGCCGAGTGGGCGCCCAGGAGCCACGAGCGGCGAGAAGGCAGGGCGGGAGGCCCTACCCAGTCGGTCCGGTTTGCGGGGGAGGCGCCACCTCCGTTCCCTACAGTAGCCTAGGGCGGAACTCAGCTCGTCCCGGGCTCGGCCCCACGTCTGAGCGACAACCGGAGCGCCGGACTAATGCTGACTGCACGGCCTCTCCGCCTCTGGCCTCAAACTTTTTGCTCAACTTCGCCGCCAGGCGCCGCGGTGCGGGGAGCGCGCTGTGCCTCTGCGCCCGGCCTGGCCA